TTGAATATATTTGTAAAATAGTCAAATTAATTTTTTCAGAACTCACGCAAAGCAAACCACATTGTTATTCTTCACTCTATCAATATTCATTAGCCATAATGAAAAACAGATAGCAAATGGTTGAATTAATCATTCAGCTACGTTCCCACCAAGAACAGAGTTTTTGCTTAATAATTATTCAAGATATTCACTTTGTTTGCATACTTTATATAAATAGCCACCTGCACATTTTGGCTTTACTAATTTCCAAAAAGAAAAGAACAAAAAGTGGCAGGGTAAATGAAAAAAGAGTAGAAGAGTAATTACTTCCTTCTATATGAAAGCTCTTGAATTTAACCCAAATGCAGGACAGTTGCAGACTGACTTGTAAGTACATTTCAGATATCACAGAGCTCGGGGATAAAAACAGCATATGTTGCAAATCTAGAAGTTGGCATTATTCACTATTACTTCAAGGTCACTTTCAAATTTTCTAGAAGCAAAAGACTCTGAATATCAGTTCTTTTCATAGAGACCCAAAAATAATTTAAGAGCAAACATGTTCTATAATACCCATTCTCAGAAAGATACTGAATACTATAACTTCTCCCTCTTATCCTGGGTTCCACAAATATATTTGCAATAATCAGACATCTATGAATTTAATAAAAATTGCAAGGATGAAAATATAATTTTGGAGAGTCTGTTGTGTTCTGTGAGAACTTCAAACATTCTTGTAATACATGAGAATAGTGTGTGGGGTTTAAAATACAATAATCTTTCCACATATCAATGACTTTTGGGTTCATTTTAGCTCAACTCAACATTAGTTGATCATCTACTATGAACAATATTAGGACTAATGTTGAGACTTGATGTCACCACTACTGGTACTACTAATAGTAGCAATACTTAATATATATGCTTTAAGTATTGACCATACTAAAAAAATCATTGACTACTGTAATGATTAATCTTCAAAATAACACTAGGAAGTAGCAATTATGCCCAGTTTACTGACAGAGTTAAAGCGGGCACGTTTATCTGATTGAAGTCACTTGCATGCAATTGGTACATGATGGAGCAGGCTTGTGCGAAGTCTTTCAAACTTCACCTTCAGCACTGTGGGTCACTGCTTTCTTCAACAAGTAATATAGTATGTAGACTAAGACATGCATTCAAATCCTGGTGCCAACTAAAAGGTAATTAACCCTACACAGATTGGTACTATGTCACTAGAGAAGCTTAGAAAAGGGAGAGAATACTTGGCATTGCGTAAATTCAAAGCAAAAAACGTGAGATAAACAAAAGCAGCTTTATGGAGAGGAGTATATTCATACGTCATTAAACTGAACGACCATATAAAATTGGAATAAAGTAAATTAAAGGTGGAAAGTACAATTTAATTTAAAATACAGAGCATAGAATTAGAACAATGAAAGCTATACTAAGAGAAAGCGGATATTTTACTAAAAGTATATATGGATGATTCTAAGATTTGACAAAATGAGGCCCTCAGCTTCCGTTGCACAAAACTAATCTTACACCCTTGAGCATCGAAACGTACTCTAAGTTGGAGGATACTTCTTCATCTGGTGCAGCTTCATCTTCTGACTGGTCACTTAGAAGGTCACATGTTTGAATGGATGACGTATCTGCAACCTCTAAAACAGGAGCAATGCTGGGTCTTCTGGTTTCTCGGCCTCCCTCTGCAGGAAGAGATAAGGTAGGGCCACTTCCTGATCTACAGCTCGTGTCTTGCAAGTCTATAGCCACAGTGCCTAAAACAAAGAAGTATGA